ACCACTGTCGCTAACGTTTCCTAGCTGGGTAGAGTGGGGCTGTCTTTGCTATTTGCACCTGTTGAATTAGTACATTTGTCTCAATGGCTGGGAGGGAAGAAGAGCGGAGGGGCTGCTCATTACTGTGTGTGACGGTAACCGAATTCAGTGCAACTCCTCCTCCTTTTTGCTGTTCCTGCATGTGGGCTCTTTATAGGGCTTGGTGGGGAAGAACAGTGAAAGACTCAGGCACAGGTACTGACTTTTCTTTTTCCTGGTGGGTGCTCCACCCCCACTCTGCTACGAGGCCCTGCCTTTGCTCTGCCTCTTCCTGCCCTCCTCCTACCTGCCCCCCCTCCCTTGAGCACCTCCCACCAGCCTCTGGCTGCTCCACGGCCAGCTCCGGGGCCTGTCAAACAGCTGATCTGTGGGCCAGCCCCGGGGGCCGCAGAATCACTGTGGCTGGTGGGTGCTGAGCACCCCTCTGTTTTTTTGTTTTTTTTTCCGTGGGTGCTTGAGCACCGAGCACCCACAGAGTCGGTGCCAGTGGACTCAGATATTCTCTGGAGAGATGTCAGGGCACTCTCTGAGGGTTTTCACTCTCTCATGATGCCAACATTTGCCGCTTTCCAGCGATTACCAATTTCTTTTGTCTTTTTACCATCCAGATGTGATTGAATACGGGAACACCTCATAGAGCTAAGGGACCGTGAACACAGGTAGCGATGGGAACAAAGGGGTCTCATCTTTGGTTCCACTGAGCAAGTAGCTTCGCTAAGAGCTTCTATTTCTGCTTGTGTGTGGAGCTTGTGTTTAACCTTCGTCTCCTGAAAAAAAATGCTGAACTCTCTACTCGATGGTAGCAAGTGCAGTGCAACCTAGTAATCAGAGAAAGATCCTGGGATTCAGGACTCCTGGGTTCTAATTCTGGTTCTACCACTGACTTTGCTGTATTGCCTCCAAGCTCCTGTGTGAAAACTGGGCATAAAAATGTCCAGTTCTCGGGTAGATTGTGGGACTCGGTTCATGCAGGGTGGGATTTGCAAAAGCTCTTTGCATTGTCCAACTCTGCCCACGGGAGTCAAGGTGTTTTACCAGAGACTTCAGTAGGAGCAGAGTTAGGCCAATGCTGAGCACTTTATACTGCCCTTCCTGTTGTGCTTGGCTGGACAGTGCTGTATCATTAATTGGTTTAATACTAGTGCACTGCAGGACTTCTGAATTCACATTCCTGTGCTGAATGCAACTGTATCCTTGTCACGCTTGGGAATCCTATGCCAGTACAGTAAGGATGAAATCAGTCCCTATTCCAAAGCTGAATAACAATTGCAAACAAACCATCTATGGCAAAACCAATGCTGGGGCCTCTCGTGTTTCCAAACTGACTCCCCCCTCCCCCGCCCCCTCCCACCAATCTCTACAATGGTGATATGTATTGTCAAGAGAGAATGTGATCATTTGCCAAGGGCTGGCAACACTGCTCAGTTCTAAACTCTAACTATCACTTTCTTTTGTTGAATATGGAAACAATGGTTTTCTGTGATTGTAGGTTGATGTAACATGGTGGGTAGTGGTGCATATTGTGGTAGTCAGGAAAATGAGTTGTTAACACATCACTGCTAAGCAGAGAGAGGTATCCGCAGCATTTGGGGCCTGTTAAGTTTCTCCATACTCAGTGGGCAAACACACACTTTCAGCCGGAATTACTATTTGGTTTTGATTGCACAAAGAGTGAAGCAAGAGAGAACAGAAGTAAAGTCTCCGCCAGAGAGCGCACACTGACAGTCTGTGTGGCGCTGAACACAAAATAGATGCCTGCTTCTCCAGACAGTAAAGTCCTCAGCATTTTAAATGTGCTTTACACAGGAAACGGGGGGATGTCAGCACATCTCTGCCACAAGTAATCCATAGCTAAATACACTTCGTCAACATTAAGTAAAGACTTATTTGCTGGGACAGAAATACTGGGTGAGATTCTTGACTACTGCTTCAGCCCCTTTATCCTGAGTAAAAGGTCTGGAGTGGCATAAAGAGGTTTGAAAAGCCTGGGATCCAACTGGGAGGAGGATTCCTGCACCACAGGAACACAGCTGTAAGGCTGCCTTCTGAGGACCCCTTGGCAAGCTCTGGTTTAGGTTGTATTCCAGGTCCAGGACAGGCAGGGTGCATCGTGGGCAGAACCACACACACAACCCTACAGAGATTCTGGGCAAATAGGATCCTAGAGCTGTCATTACACGGGAGGCCACACATGAGGTTTGAAGCCAGCTTAGCCCTCCCTCTCTTTGGGGTATCTTTGCCCCCCTTACAGGGGCAGCACAGAATCTTGCCCAAGCTGTTGGCTGGCCTATTACATCACCCACATCCTTTTGCTGCACTCTGCATCTTCTGCTGAAGGCCGGAGACGTTGAATAAGGTTGTTGGCAGTGTGTGTATTTACTCAGTGTGGTGTCCATGGCCCTTTGATGAACCCACTGACCTGCCCGGGATTGTAAAACTTGCATCTGCCTTCGTTGGAAACACTCATAAAAAGGGTGGAAAGAAGAAGCAGCTACGACTTCTTTTTGGCCAGCCCACACCGCTGCTTGTAGCCATTGGTATTCTGTGTCACGAGGCGCGAGAACTAGTTGACGTTTTCCTTTTATTCAGTGAAGAGCAGCTGTCTGAGCTAAACCGAAACATCCCCAAAAATAATTCACTTCAACATTTTTCACTGAAAAATGTTGTCATGAAAACTTTCATTTTGAGTTGAAAAATTGTATCTAGATTTTTGAAAACAAAAATAAAATTTTTTTGGGGGGGGAAGAGGGTGGAATTTTTCTCCATTTCCTACTTTGACTTCCCAGTGAGTGTGAGGCAGAAATGGAGGGATAGTAAGAAAAGGAGAGAAAGGAGCTCCCCCTCCCCCACCCCAGTTGTACAAGCATGGTAATGAAAGTGCAACAACTGTGATGCTGGATCTCAGTGTGTGTGCACGAGGCTCAAAAAAACCATGCCAGGCTACTAGGTGGTCACCCAAAATGGCCCAGAGCTCTGCCTCACAGCAATTAAATCCATGTTGCTTACTGCAATGATCCGTGGGCTTGAAGCAGCTTGGAACAATTACGCAACAGCCTACGCGTGCCTGAAAGCACAAGGTTCAGGCTTTGCCATCTTGAGGATGTTAGCCAAAACCAAAGTGATCTAAGAACCCAGAGAGGCCCGTGCTGTTGAACTGTATTTCTTTTGTTCAGCGCTGGAGCAGATGTTTTTGGATTACGAGGCTGCGAAAATGCAGTAAGTTAGGGGAAAGGTCCGCAGCTTGGCTTTTGGCTAGCGCGTAGTGCTTTCTTGCCGCTTGTAAGGTGAGGAGAGGGGGTCAGTTCTGCTGCACTTAGATTAGGCGGGAGTGTAATACTCAAGCATGAACAATAATGGGAGGCTGTAATTGCTTGGAAGGCAGGGTGCGTGCACTCCTAGTTTATTGTCAGCAGCTTATCACATGAGAATTAAAATTACGATGTCTCCCTTAAAAGAGCCTTGTTTCCAGCTCTAGTAGTGTAGCTGGGATGCGGACAGCTGTACGTGTGTGTTTTCTGTGCTGAGCGTTCCACTTGCACTTGTGTGACTTTCCTTTTTCGTTTCAGTTTTTGCAAATGCATCTTGATTGCTAGTGAGTGGTGCTAGCTCGAGAGTCCTCCACTCGGGCCACAGAACAGGCCTCAGAGTGGGCAGTGGAAACTGCATGCTTCCCCTAAGACAGTGCCCGACTGACATGCCTCGAACCTGCCCGGGAGGGGACTCCCGTTAGGGCTGTGAAGGTAATTCAGTCTCACTGGCCCGGTTTTGTCCTCCGCCGGTCTGCTGGTAGTTTTTGAGATGTGACACCTGTTCACTCAGAACTGGAAGGAGTCCCTCAAATTCACCTCACTGCATATGTAGTATTTGTCCATGTAAAAGCCTGGCTAATGCAAAATCCACTCCCCCACAATCTCCCTCATCCACAAACAAATGTGTTCACTTTCTAATCCCACAGAACCAAGGGCTCATCCAGAGAGAAAACCAGGCATATTATATAGCAGCTATGTGATGCTGCTGTGCAACAGGTTTGTTTGCCATGCAGGCCAATTATTGCTTTGCCAGGTAGTTAGGGCCTGATTTTTAAGACAAGTTAGACACACATTTCCATATGCCTAATTTGTGAGTGCAAGTGCTTTTATTGTGCGTGCAAACTGGGAAATTGTGTGCTCAAAAAGATAATAAGTTTAATGCTGAACATATTCAATCATGGTAATTGCATATGCAAATTAGTCACACAGTTGTAAGCCCAAACTGCCTGAAAATCTGCCCCGCTATTTGTTATAGTAACAATTTAAAAAAATCACCAACAACATTGCAATCTTATAATAGCTAGGATTCTCTGAATATTAGTTAAATCTGTTGTCTACTGTAGCTAGTGTGATCATTTTGGTACACAATACAAGTTTAGTATTTTCCCTTTGAAACTCTGTGTAAAATCTGCACTCAACTGCTGCAAATTAGGAACACAGTTGTTAGTGATGTGGTGCCATAAATGTATATGTCATTTACGACATAAAACGCATGTCCTGAAGAGCTGGAAAGGTGTGAGTACATAGGTCACAGGTTGAGCCACAGTGGGAATGCTTCAGAAATCTCGTGAAAACCCACCTGATCATGAAGGAAGAAATGGAGGATGCTTAATGTATGTTGTTTGACAGCTAGTTCCAAAGGGAAGTGAGTCAAAAGATTGATAAGGGAGCAGGCCATCAGGAGTGGGAAGGGCTACGGGACTTCCTGACCGTCAAAGGGAGTTCATATTGCCCTGGTCAGACAGAACTCACTGCCTCATGATAGTCACAGACTCTGATCTTCTGGATCCCGCTGCTCCAGCCTGGTAACATTCCCCACAGACAGACACACTGAGCCTAGGCTCACAAGGCCCCAGGTGGGTAGTACTCCCACCTGAGAAGTTGCACTGGCCCATGTTTTGGGCTCATGTTTTTTCCCTTTTCTCTTTTCAGATGAGCAACAAAAGGTCCAATAGCTTCCGCCAAGCCATTCTGCAGGGGAACAGGAGGCTGTGCAGCAAGGCACTGCTGGAGGAGTCGGGACTAAGCCTGTCCCAGAGGCTAATTCGACATGTTGCATATGAGACCCTGCCACGCGAGATAGACCGGAAGTGGTACTACGACAGTTACACCTGCTGTCCTCCGCCCTGGTTCATGATTGCCATCACCATTGTAGAGGCAGGTATCCTACTGCGCCGCTCCTGAAAACCCCTCCCAGAGCGCGAGCAAGCATAGGGAGACTGTTATCCCACACGTACAGACCGTGGTTCTGCCAATGCACCTGCCTCTCTTGAACTCGCATTGACGCTGGGGCCACGCTCTGTGCTCATTTGGAGATCTGCGCGAATAGGGACTAGGGTGAAACTAGCATATTGGCTTTCACATGTAAATGGGAGATTTGGAACCGAGGTCTCCAAAAGCAGAAGTCTAGGTCGTTCATCTGATGCTTTCCACTGCATGAGCTTCTGGTGCGGGACCTCAGGACAGCTTCAAAGTTCTGCTGAAGTTAGTTGTCAGTGGGCCATTAGGCAAAGGGTGGTGCCAGTGGAAAAGCTAAAACCTCTTGCGCCTTTCATCCAAATCCCCTTCAGCCTTTGAGCTAGATAAATTTTGGTTTCTGTGGAGCTTTAGAAGGAGACAATACAAAGCAAGGTTCTGCACGCATGCTAAAGACTCTGGTACCTTTCATAAGGGGTAGGTGCTTGCCTTATCATTCTTCAATAAAACATGTCCTTACCCCTCCGCTTTCCTCACTTCCCTGCTCATGGGGTCTGCATTTCAGTGATGCTGTCCGGATGCAGTTTGTCAAGTGCTTTTGGGTCCTTTGCAGTGAAAGGTTGTATGTAGATTTACAATTTTGTTTGGTTTTGAGGCCTTTTTTTTAAAATGCATCTTAATTGGAGTTTGTTAGTTCCTCAGAGTAGGAACCTTGTAATCATTCATGTTTGTAAATGGCTAGTACTCTCATACTGCTATATAAGCATGTTGTGATAGCTGGGGGAACCTATTGCACAAGTTGGATATTGAATTGTAGTTTATTTCTGTGGAGGGATGGTGTTCATTAACTGAGGAATCTCCCTGCTTTTCTAGGTTGCCTTTTTTCTTTACAACGGAGTGGTATTAGACAGATTTGTGCTGCAAGTCACCCATCCTTTATACCTGAAGAACTCATTAGTGTATCATCCTCAGCTCCGTGCTCAGGCTTGGAGGTACCTAACCTACATATTCATGCATGCCGGGTGAGTACTTCACAAATTTCAGAGGGTCCCCACAGCTGAGTTTCCAGAGAGAGAGAGATTGACTTGAATCAGTTCAGAATTGGATTTTATAAAAGATTTTTCAGTTGCAAATGGCCATTCTGTGAAGTAGAACAAATCGCATGCTGTTGAGGGACATGGTAAAATACTGGGCTGTTGTTCAGATGGGTTACCTTCAAAGTCCTTGTACTGGAGGAAATGGCACTAGTGATTCGATAGGTGGTGCGTGTCTCTCACTACTGAGCCAGTGACCCCGACATACATATCTGGGGCTATGTAGCTCTGCGCTTCCCCAACTGTCCATTTGCCCAATTTTCCCCAAGTACAACTAGGTGGATATTGGAGAAGAAATCTGCAAAAATGTAGCTGAATTTTTTACCCAATTTGCCACATTTGGCTTTGAGATGAAATCTGGTCTTATAGCTAAAGTACTGGATTGGGTTTCAAGAGGTCTGCGTTTTAGTCCTGACTCTGCCACAGACAGCCTGTGTGAGCTTGGGTGAGTTGCTTAATCCCTCTGTGCCTATAATCTATAATTACTTAATAATATTTTGCTATCTTATTGTATTTGGTGGCACCTAGAGGCCCCAAATCAAGATTGGAGTCTCATTTTGCTAGGCTCTGTACAAACACACAGTATGAGACAGTTCTTACCCTGAAGAGGCAACAAGACAGACAGACAATCAGAGGGGAAATTGAGGCACAGCATGAACGGACTTGCCCAAAGTTACACAGGGAGACTGCAAGCTCAGCTGGGAACAGAATCCAAGTCTTATGAATCCCTGTTTCCTGCCCAGTGTCCCATTCCCTGGACCTCTCTACCCCACAGGGGTTTTATGAGGCTTGCTTAATTGGTGTTTGTGAAGTGCTCAGATGCCATAGTGATGACAGCACCACAGAAAAGCCTGTAAACGGCTGAAATGTGCATGCTCCTTCTGTGTGTGTGCGGGCCAGTGATCTCTCTCTTTGCAAATGTCTGGATAGATAAGTTGTGGTTTTTCCCTAAATTTTTCATTGGAAATATCACCGTGACAAATTTCTCTGTGATAGTTTATAATTTGAACCTTACAAGGAAATGGCTAGAGACTCTTCCTTTTTTTTTTTTCTCCCCCTTACATGAAAGATTAATGGAAATCTAATCAGTGGTGCCCACTAAAATGCTGAAAAGATTCATCTGATGTTCCTAATTTGCTAGTGAATAGCTCCCTAAACTTCTCTCCTCAGCTCACAATTGGTCTTGTGCATAAGATCTCACCCAGATCTTTCAAGTAAACATCATGTAAATTTCCTAGGAGGAGCCAATTTTGTTTGAAAGACAGGGCAAAAAAAGAAAAAATTAGAAGAAATTTCCAAAACACCTGTGTCTCCTGCATGCCATGGCCCTCCAAAAACAGCCTTGTCCAAACACATCTCCAGCTGGAGGGTGGTGAGGGCAGATAGTGGGGGGCAGAGAAAGAGACACTTCTGCTGGACAGGACACAGACCACACATGCAAAATGTGAAGTGGAAAGGTCCATCTTTGAGGAACTCAAGCAAGGATGAGGGGAAAATTGGCCTTGTAACAGAAAGTTACTCTCAATCTTAACTATTGAGCAGCAACCCAGGGCTTGTCTTCACTGTCAAAAAGCTGTGTTTTTTACCTCAGTATAATTAATGCCCCTGAGCTATCCTGAGGTAAAAACTGAAGCAATGTCTGCACAGCTGTGGTGTTGCAGTTGTGCCCCTGTAGCGCTGTAGTGTAGACACTCCCTACAGTGACAGAAGGGGTTTTTCCACGGCTGTCATTAATCCACCTCTCCGAGAGGCGGTAGCTAGGCTGAAGAATTCTTCTATCAACCTAGTGGCATCTACAGTGCGGGTTAGTCGGTTTGTTTATGTAGCTCCAGGCTGTGGATTTTTTACACTCCTGAGCAATGTAACCTAAATTTTAAGCGTAGACTTGGCAACAGTGAAGACTAGGCATTGTAGTTTTAGTGTGAGGTAAACTCACTTTGGTCAGTCTCAGGCAGGTAGGGGCATGTATAGTGCTGACCTTGGCAAGTTTTCCTCACAGTAAACCTCAAGAGCCTTGTTTTCACTATGTTTTTACCTGAGAATCACTGATGTGCATGAATTACTTTGAGGTCAAAAATGTAGGCCTAACTCTCCATAATATGTACTTGTATACCTTGTGTATACATACACATGGGTGTATGTGTATTATATAGCTTGTACAATCAGATAAAATAGCAAACTGCTCTGGGATCCATTTGAATGAAAGGTAAGATTATTAGCGTTTAAACTTCTTTCGTTATTGTTTGTAACAGGGCTTTCCAATCCATGAAATGTCACCACTTCGCCTTAGCAAGCAGCGCTCTGGTGTTAGTCACACATCTTGCTTGAAAAGTTTGCCAAGTCCTTTATTTACCAAGTTTACTTCACAGCCCTGGCTGGTTTCGGAGGGAGGCGATAATGAAGACAGTATCGAACGTCTAACCTTTGTAAATATTTGAGATTTATCCCAGAGAGCCTCATTACTTTTGCAACGAATTCTAAATCATGTAGATACATAACCATCAAAACCACACACAGTCCTGCTTGAATAATAAACCCTCTAGCAGTTTTTATGAGGAAGCAGCATCCAATAGTTGGATGGTTAAATGATCATTTATTGCTGACTTATCTGTATTAAGTACCTTTCGTATCAGGAGAATAGATAAATCCCGAGAAGGTAATAATCTTTTTACTGTGGGCCCATTATTCCCATCTCATTTTCAAAGGGCAGGCTAATCCAGTGGTGTGGAGTCTATTGCTGTTATACTTCCTGCTGAGACTTTAACATGGTAATTTGCATTCCTTAATTTACTGCGCTCCTCTGCTTTTTTTTAAAAATGAAAGTGACAGTCAGAAGGTGTTGGAGAAGAAGGCAGTTGCTAAGGCCAGCTGGCTGTGCTTCTACAAAGATTCCAAAAATGCACTGTTTGTGTCTCCATCCTCATGGAAAGAGCTTTATAAAGAGGCCTGAAAGCCAAGTTGAAGCTGTAAATTTTGCCCTTCTGCTTTCATGCAAAGCAGCTGTTGATTATCAGGGGCCCACCCATTTATTACACTGCCGTAACTAATGACTTGCATTGATTCTCAGTCCCATTTGTTTGGTCCCAGAGAAGGCTAACGTCCTAATAAATCAGTTACATTGTCATTTCAAGAATGACACATTCAAAGCTGGAGAAAGCTAATTATGTTTTATGGGTGCTTATTGACTATGGAACCTCTGATGCTCTTAGCTTGATGGGAAAGTGGGCTGAATAGGCTCACTCCTGGTAACGCTTTTAAGAACAGGCACATGTGTCAGGTCCACTGAAATAGCTTTTAGAGTCCCTCACAAGAATAAGCTTTGCCTGCAAAAGCTGCCTTGCTAAAATAAGGACAGTTGCTTGGTTTTAAAATATTGGACATTCCCCAGGACGGTTACTAAGTGTCAGTCTCTTGTTTTCCTTCTATACAAGGGCAGTGACATGCTCTGATTCATTCCTGTGATCTCTATTTGACTTTCGGTAGGCATTCCCAACTAAGTGCTTGAGTCCCCTGTACCTGCATGAGCAGAATGAACACAAGAAAATGACTATGCCCAGTGGCTCCAATGCTCAGAGCAAGCAGAATAAGCACATTCAGTTAGGTTACAGAAATGTCCAATAATGATAAACTGCAGAACAAATGGGGGGGGCACGCAGCGAGAGGGTTGGATTATTAGAGAATATTAGAAATTAGAGAGAGGCTGATGTCTTAATAGGTTTGTTTCTATCTTCCTTTAAGGACAGGATTGCACCATCCAGAACAAGGTCTAGTATTTTGTCCAGTCTAAGTTTCAAACGTCCCAAAGGATGCAGCTTCCACCACCTACCCAGGGAGAATATTCTACAACCTCCACAGCAGGAAGATTTCCCTGATATTTACATTAGGCAAATCACAATGCTAACATGAGGAAAGCCCAAAAGAACTAAATATACCTAACCCAAGATAAGTGATGACTACGGCACTGGGGACAGGATAACTGATTGGCCATTTGGGTAGTGAGAACACCACGGGTGACCAGGAACTATCTAGGATGGCATACGGGAGGCCGTAGTACCATCGTTAAAGCACTTGGGAATCCTTTAGTAGCAGAGGGGATGTGTAAATATTTGTATGATGCTTTAAAAAATAGAAAACAACAGCTGTGTGCCAAGTGTTGTTGATTAGATGTAAGATCTTTGCTGTTCTAAACTCATGACCAAACACAGTGGAAATCTACAGCATCGGTGTCTTTTTTTTTTTTTCACAGATGCATCTGCTTGGGATTCATGCTTTCCGCCTGGCTCCCATGCAGGTTGGCACTTGTTAACGTGCACAGTAGGGATGGTGAACGACAGGCTGGAGTTCCGCAGGCAGCCTTGACGCTGTGTTTTGCACTGTAGATGGGAGTTGCACAAGCACTCAGCATGGGACTGTCTCTGTTTCTGCTGCAGCCCATCAGCATTGAATCATTGACTCTAGTGGGAGCAGAGCTAGGTCAATCCCGAGTGCTTTTCACAATCCCTCCTTGCACTTGATAGATCCCCCACATGAAGCCACCGTATGTCAGCCGGACATGAAATCTCTACCTTCTTTCTGCTCCTGCTACGAGCAGATAGGGATAGGCCCAGCAAATGTTAGGACATGGAGCGTGGGGTGGGGCCTGCTAGCACGAATCTTGAAGCTGCATTGTGTTTCAGCAAGATGAAAAAGGAACTGTCATAGGACAGCTGTGCGTAACCTAGAATTGCCTTGAAACTCACATGTCAAATTGATGTGCAGAGCGGGAGGGCATACTGTCAAGTGGTTAGAGCAGAAGACTGAGAGTCAAGATTCCTGGGCTCTTGTCTGTCTCTGCCACTGTCTTGCTGTGTGGCTGCAGGTCACTTAACTCCTCTGTACTCCGTTGTACCCATGTGTGGAAAAGGGTGTAATAAGAGTGTTGTGAGGCTCAATCGCTATTTGTAAAGAACTTTGCCGCCTTTGAAAGGACCTAAGGGCTGCAAAGGAGGATTAGCAGTAAAAGCAATAAGTGATGTAACGTGCTCTGAACAGCTTGGTTGTGGGTCCCCTGATTCCAGTAACCATGCTTTTTCTCTAGTATTGCTATTTATTTCCATGCAGAAGCTATTTCTAATTTTATACATGCATCAGTAGCTTCAATTATGCTTTGACAATTTATGAGGACTACACTGAGCAGGGTTTCACTTAAAGGTGAAATCATTTCATAGCATCTGCTTGGTACGATAAAAATGTTTTCAGGCGGGATATTTTACTCACTGTCTTTTTATCAGGAATACCTGTGCCACCAAAGCTTGATCTTTTCAGAGTACAATTTGGCATCAAAAGGGAGAACTTCCATTATATAGATTAAAATACTATGTCAAGCACACTCCCAAAAGGATTTGATTTTGTGGAGCTGGACAATAGAAGGAAACCAGGAATCTTCTCTCAGTTGCATTCCTAGCCCCTGAATCAAACATAGTCTTCACTTAACCGTCTTCCACACCCAGTGTATTTGGTGGGTCAGTGCACAGTGAATAGTCCATGGCTCTACATTCCTGCTATATGCATTGGTTCACACATTTTCCCCCATGTCGTATATTCCTTTAGGCCAGGCCATGCCTTGTTGTTCAGGTTCACATTATAACAGGCTTGAATCTGAGTAATGTGTGGAACATTCCTAAAACCGCTGGTCTGAATCTGCAGACTTCATGTCATAGCAATCCGTTACCAATGCTATTGAGAGGGTGAAGTGTCTTCTTATGAAGATAGCGCCCTTATAACATGGAAGATGAAGAGAATTTGGTGTAATCTTGGGAGGAGACAGAATTCTTATGAAAAGCTTTAACGGAAAAATCAGGGAGTGCACTCTACCTATCTAGAATTAGCCCATTTCATCTGGGGATTATTTTGTAATATTCTTTTGGAATAGTAAAAATCTAACATAATATCCATCCACAAAATTCACTGAAGGAATCCACCATGGTAGCCTGTAATAAATGACTGGGGAGTGTGAACTGTATCCATCACAACTTCTCTTTGTTGGATGATGTCAGATCTGTTCAATTTCATGTGCCAAAATTGTCTTTTAGTGGCTGCAGCCTGCAAGGCTAAAACCCCCAATGTTACTACTGGTGAGACTTCCTTAGGCTTTGGCTTTGGCTTTGTTTAGCTTTTAAACAAAGGTCATGGTTTTTATCCCCTTGCCACTGTGGTGGAGTTTGCAGTCATGGATTCATGACAAAATCTATGCCCAGGGATAGCTGCCTGTCTCTCCAAACGCAGGTATCAGAGCATGTGATATGAATATTGATGATAAATCAGCTGTAGGTCAGTGACTAAAAAAAAAAAATGCATGAAAGTTACATGGACTAAGCCAAAGAAATCTGATTAGAATCTAGATTGTGGCTCACTTGGCCTCCTCTTCCAAGACATCGTTACATTGTGGGAAACAAGGGGAAAACACAGTTAGAAAGAACACAACTAATGGTATTTTTCTTTGCCCCAGGATAGAACACCTTGGACTCAATGTTGCTCTTCAGCTTCTGGTTGGGGTTCCCCTCGAAATGGTGCATGGAGCAGCAAGGATTGGCTTTGTCTACATTGCTGGAGTTGTAGCAGGTAAGTGGTGTGTCTGACCCCAGATGACCGCGCGCTGGAAGTATCACAATCAATGTTCTCAAAGGTTTGGGTGTTTATGGTATGGGAGGAAAAGGTGCCTATTCTTGACGTTTCTTGGGCAGGAGTTCTTTGCTTTCCGTGCCAAAGACTTGGGATGCTTGGGATGATGGTGGCCATTTAGCCTTGCCATTGTAATTCTAGCACAAAGGTTATAACACTTGAAACATGGATCCAATGGGGCTATACAGTCTGTCTTGCAAATAGCATCTGCAGGATGCAATATTTTGGGAATGACCCTGCACAACGGTGCTGATGTGGCCAGGAATTACTAAAGTACCCCCAGGTCTCTGCCATATCAGTTCTTTCAGCAGCAAGGAAGCCTTGATTTTAGCTCTTCATTTTCCTTTGAGGTGCATGCATTTCTACTTGGCAGGGAAAGCCAGGCAGGTACTTACAAGAACGTAGCCCCCATTCTGAATTGCAAAATTTTCCATTTGTTTAAAAAAATATTTTAAACATTTGAGCCAAATTCTGCAAACTGTGCAGCCCGGGTGCCTTAAGTGAACCTCGGAGCTCCATCTGAGACTCAGCGGGCGTGAACCTCACATGCCTGGAAATCAAAGAAAGCAAAACCTCAGAGGCTTGTGAAACCTGTTAAGCAAAACCTCAGAAGCTTGTGAAGGCTCTGACTGGAGCATAGACACGTGGCAGCCTTGGTTCAAATGTGCTTTATCTGCTGAAAGACAGCAGCTGTGCCCAAAAGCCACCAGTGCTTCCTGTAGAGCTCTCATGCAGTACCTGTGCAGCCTGGTGAGCTCTGCTCCAGGGATTCCTGCTTCTGAAGTACTGGCAAGGCTTGTCCAACTCAGGGCCTTCGTGGCATCACTGATCACTGGTGTGGTCATGGCATCATGACATTGCATTTGCATCACTGTAGTGTTAGCCCCTTGGGGATTAAGCAGATGGCCTGATACCTTTGCCATCCTAGGAGGAGGAGGCAGAGTTGCTCTCTTGTTCTGCCTTAAACTCTGGCTGGAATTTACAAGTTCAGAAGGAGGAGCAAAGTCAGAAGCCAAGATTTTTTCTCTGTCTGTATTTGACTAAGATTTCCAGGAGTGACTAGGGAGTTTATGTACCAGCCCCTGCTCTCTGAATTGTCAGACCTCTTTAAGGGTTCTCAGTTTGGGCACCCAAAAAGCTTATGCGTGTATCTCACGTGGTGGTAACAGCTATGCAGTAAAATGCAGAGGCTGATCACATCTTTGTGTCCTCTGTGGCTTGGGCGGACTGGGACTCGGGGTGGCCAATGAGCTGGTTGGGGCAGGGATCCTCTGACTGCAGGTGGGGCTCGGGGCTCCAGCAGGGGAGGGGAGAAGGATAGGGTTTGTTAGGGTAGGGACGGCCTCTGGGGTAGGAGGGGCAGGGCTGGACGCTAGCCTCCCTGAACAGGGGGTTCATGTGCTGCCCATGGCTGTGTGGACATACTCTAAGTCACTTAGGTGCTTTTGAAAACTTCACCCCATGTCTATTGAGCCATTGTGATCTGCAGAGTCCGAGGCTGAAATCTGGGTCTACCCCACTTACTCTGCAAGACTGAAACGTGGTTTGGCCCTGTTGGGTACTATTGTGTGGTAACCAGCTCCCACACCCTGCTGGCTTCTCATAGCGTAGCTGAGATCCAAGGCTCAAAACTGTGTTGGACACTATTTGGAAATATGCTTACATCTTGACATCTTTGCTGAGGGCTTGGCAGATGGGTCTACGTTTGACTAACTGCTACCCAAAAAATACACAGACTTAAAAAAACCAATTGCTTATAAATGCAAAGTGAAAAACTAGGACCGTTTTGAGAAAAGGCCTATGCCCGGCAGCACAAGCAAAGCAAGCCACCATTTAGGGTTTGTTGTTTCAAATCACATGGGAGCTCTGCAGGCTGACTCTGTCTCTTCCTTTGTTTGTGAGGTCATAGGTGGAATTGATTTCATCAGAGCCACCTCTAGTAGTGGGACTGGAAGGGAGCAAATCTGTGGCCTCAGCCTTTATCCTTGGTAGCTCTGGCCTGCTGTTGCTTGAGGACCGACAAATTATAATCACAGCCAGGATTTGCAGGCCCACACACGCTTCTTATGGACTGGGCACGTCTTTTAGTTTGTCTCGGCTACCATGCTTCTTATTATTCTAAATGAATTCTCTGATTTCCATTCATGCACATGCTTTTCCTTTCATTAACTGTGCTAAGTACGCTGTGGAGGGCAGTGCTGAAAGTAATCCCTTCTTATCTCAAGGTGAATACAACTTGGAAATTGTTAACATGAAGAATCACAGGCAGAAAACCAGCACACGATATCCCTTTGTGGTTAGATTTGTTTAGCCAATTATTTGACGCATTTGATTTAAAACATGTTCCTGGTGCTTTGAACTGTGCTGGGAGAGTGAGTGAGAGAGAGCACAGGTTAATGCTGCAGATCGAAGAAATAGAGAGATAATACAGCTTGTAAACAAATGGGGCAGCCCAAACATGCTCATCCCCTGCCCTTAACTGACTTTCATCAGGAGGGATAGCTCATTATTTCTAATCTAATTCTCTCCAGTTTGCTTGGCTCTGCTATTAGAACCTTTTGCTGTGCAGAGATGGTGAGACTGAAAGGGATGTTTCCAGCACAGCGCCCAGGGATTTAATTGTGTAAATACTATTCTCATTAATGGTTCCTCATTAGCTTCTCAGCCAGAGAACAACTCACTCAGCCAGGCTCCATAAGAGCCCAGGAACCTGGCTATGTTTCCCTGGGGAGGAGTGTCTTTCAGCTACCAGAATTAAGGGGGCGTCCGCTCCAGGGTTAAGGATGCACTGAGATTTGCGGGTAAAGCAGGACTAAGCCCCTTTCTTTCTCACTTGGACTGAAATGAGTCTCCAGATTTAATACCCTAACTCTACAGGTGACAGCTACATTGAATATAGTTAAATATTTATTAACATGTTGCAGAGGAAAAGCCTGTTAACAATGTCTTCGGGCTTGTCGACACAGACCAGTAATATGCACCAGCGGGGTGTGAATTCTAAGGCACAGCAACGCGTTGCACGCCAACTGGCCTGCGTAGACCATGATGTGATACTCAGAGCTGTGAGGCACCTCGCTACCACCTGTCCTTAGCATGAGAAATCCTTGTCTGGGCCTGTTGGGAGTCAGCTCCACAACTCCACTGGCCACAGGCAACACACACATTCTCCTCTAGGCCTATCCAGGCCCCACTCTCTCTGCAGGTTAACAATAGGCACGCTCCAACCCCCGTGCATCTCCCTGGAGGATCCAGACCTTGTTCCACTGGACACTCACAATATTCACAGATTCGCTGCTTCTGAAGAAGCAGTACATCCTAGCCGACCACTTCCATCTCAGGTCACCGCTCTGTTTAACACGCAACACTTAGATATGTTTATAGTGAAAACAAGGAAAAGTTTATTTAGCAGAGTATAGAGAGTCAAGTGATAGCTATCAGAAGTATTGAAACAAATAGGTACCTATAAAATATAATCATAATCCACATTCTAGAACCTAGACTTACTTAACTAGATACTTTCCTGTCTTACAGAGGGATGCTCACCCAAAGTCCTTCCAGTATTTTACAGTCAGGCTTGGCTGTGATTTTCCATTCATGAGACAAGTCGTGCTTGTCAGCTTGCCCCCACGGTGAAAGATCCAGGATGTCTGTTTGCACCCCAGATATATCAGAACAATCCATTGTCCTTATTCACAATCAGGACCTCCCCCGGCTCGTGGTTGTTTCCTGGGTACTCCTTCCTGGTAGATTTCTGGTGGAATCTCTTAATCAGCATCTGGCTCAGTGTGCAAATAGGCCTACACTGTGAAGCCTACAATACACATATGACCAGACAGGGAGATAAGTGTCCATTACCTCCTGCCTGAAAGGAGCCTGTCCGAGGCATGTCACCTCGTGGTGACCTGCCTTACCTCCAAGTCCTTAAAAACATAATTTTTAGTACAGACTTCTTAAATATTATCCATCCATACATTCTGTGGTGATTATGATGACCTGCAGGCTACTGGCTCTTGGTAGAGACCTCACATGCCACCCTTTGGCAAATTAGTATGCATATATACAACCCAGGGGATCCCTGTAAAACTCTGTGCACCCTGTGCCCTCTGGCATTTAGTATGAAGTGGTCCCTGGGTCACAGCTGGCACACACCTAAGAGTTCCCTACTGCTTATTAACATAGTGGTGTTTGAAAAAGGGCTACGCTAACCTGCACTAGAGAATTTCTAGTGTGCACCAGCAGAGTCTAAACAGGGCAGTTAGTGGGAGACATGCTGGTGTGCATTAGAACTCACACCCCACTGCTGCACACTACTGCACTGTGTAGACAAGCCCTGTGAGAGATTTGGTCCTGACAGACACAGCTTTGTGTTTGGCTCTTGACCAGCCATGTCCCAGCAAACTTCCCAGGCACACACTGTGCCAGCATTACAGGGATAAGATGCGTAGAGTAACACAGCATCAGTTGTTTTCCCCCAGTTGGGCAGAACCTGCTTTGTCTCTGCCAAGAAAAGCCGTCTGAGCCACTCAGATCCATCAGCTCCTTCCAGTACCACCACTGCCTCTCGAGCCTTTGCTCCCTTCCCTTGGTCCCTGGCTACAGCCCTAAACAACAGTTCATCCCATTTGCCTCTAGGGGACTCCCACCTCTGCCCCAACGCCATGTTCCTCCAGCTTCCATTGCAACTCGTTCACTCCTGAGCACCCAAGTCCCAGTCCAAATGAAGTCCCAAGGTCTGTTGGAGCGTGGCCCCTTTTGGCAAACTCCAGTTGATTTGTAAGAGGGAGCAGCTTCCCCACTAGAGTGGAGCTGCAAGCCCTGGGTTTCTGACAGCTAGGATTGCAAGTCTCCTACTTTGCCTGTCTCCCCCGCCCCGCCCTCCATGCTCTGTGAATAGCAAGGGGACCGGCTAAGTGCAATTTTCGGGCCCCAGAGCTCTCTGT